CAGGTCGAGGCTGCGGTGGCTGGGAGCGGCCACTGCACTCCAGTCTGGGCGACAGAGTGAGACTCCAACTCAAAAAAACCCACACATTAGAACTGGAGAACATCCTGGGGACCACAAGGGGGTCTCCTAACCCAACGTAGAGAGGACTGTTTCTCCAAAGCAGTAGATTTTGTAGGAAGTTGGTGCTTTCTTATGTTTCACACTCGTGCAAGTGGGCTTTACAGGCAGAGCAGTGGAAAGCACTTCTTCGAGATTATACTGTGAGGAGAAAAGAGCAGGGAGACAAGGGCTGCAGTTAGCAGTGTGAGTTGAAGTCCTGACTGGCGTGTTTGGCCTCAGGAGGGTTCTCTGGCAGGCTCCACAGACAGGTTTGGTTTTTAAAAGTGCCAGAGAGCCACAAATTTGCATGTTATTTGCGTTCCAGGCTTCACTTCCAGGTATGTGGGATGAAATAAATGAATGAACAGTATTCAGACTCCTGAGTAAGGGGTGGACTCAGAAATCCAGACCATATTGAGGACCCAATCACTGGTCCAGCTTGGATCAGGAGACAGAGACACAGAGACAGAACAAACAGTTACAGAGACAGGGAGACAGTCAGAGAGACAAACACCATCAAGTCCTTCACCAGGGAGTTTCCAGTCAAAGCAAGGAAGCAAAACTCAGAGTTTATTTTAAATAAATCAACTTTTAAAAAACTAAGGAGAGTCACACAGACAGATGAAGGTGACATTTCCCTGCTTTATCTCCAACTCTGCTCCTCCAACCTCTACTTCTAGTTTTGTTCTGAACAGTACGCCTGAGTCTGCCTTCTTCACAAATTACATTGCTTGATGTCTGCTTAGTCTCCCAAATTTGCAAACTGTAAGATCTACTCAGACTATAAGACCCTGAGGATAGGGTTAATAGGCTAGATCCTGAGAATAAGGTGGCTTTTATTTCCTTGGTCAATCTCTTTACTCTACCCTTCAGGGGCTTCAAGCCCAATACTCAAAGACATGCTTATAAAACACTTAGCATAAGGGGCTCCTTAGAAGAGACCCAGAGTTTCAGTCTATGAGGCACACAAAATATCACTGGAAATAAAGAGTGGAGAAAGCTGTATTTAACAGACAGATGTGTGGTTAGATGTGTGGGATAAGGACTGACAGCCCACCGAAGAGCACCCTGAACTGCTGAGGAAAAGTGTTCTTGTTACAGGCAGAATGGGGCATTAGGTTTGAGGTCAGATGAACTATTTGGGACCATGAAGGAAGTTGCAGGCTGCCATGTGCAATCCTTCTTCCTTCTACTTCTGCAGTGCTGTCTCTCTAAATACATGTTTGATACCCCTACCTCATCCCTGGCAGGACAGAAACAGCTTGCACCCTGGTTTGGAAAAAAAGCACCAAATCATTCACCTGCCCCCAGTGGCTACATGTCTCAGTCCATTCCTGACGCAAAAGGCGGGTTACAATACAAATAGCATGAGGAGTTATATTATTTTCTGGCTGTAAGGGTTGTAGATGTCCAGATATGAATCTTAAGATGTGATCAGGGAATGCTTCAAAGAGATGAGATTTGGACACGCATGCTCAGTAGGTATTTGTGAAAGGAACAAAAGTACAGTAAACTGAATGAGAGTGCAATCCTTCCCAGCTCTTTCTGTCCTTAGCACTGGTGTTCTGTGGACAGGGCAACCTCCAGGATTCAAGAAACTGATGGCTACTCCTCAGTTTAGGATGGAGAAAAGGCTGCAGCTAAGGTCTGTTACATTTGGATGACTCTGATACAGGCCCTATCTCGAAAACCAAGCCAGTGTTAATACCGGCCTTAAACGGTAACACTGAACCTCTGCCTTGACTGGTTTCTATGCCCTGCAGCATTATGGCCCTTAATAGCTTTCCAGAATCCTAGAGTTTGACAAGACCCTTGATATCTAGTCTGACCATTCACAAAACCAGAGAGACAGCTGTACTAACATTTCCTCAGGGTTCACCTTCTAGCTTGAAGTCTCCTGCATTCTCTTTTCTCTCCCACAGAGAATGCATGTGTAAGTTCTCCTTTATTTGAATGTGCGACCAGCATGACCCATTAGCCATATTTCCTTCTCTACCTCCAAAGATGGGAATGGTAGTTATATGCTCTTAATAGCTAGATGTTAGGATTCAGCAGAGGTGAAGTAAGACCCTAGACTACAAGGAAGGGTGCTGGGCTGAGTCTTATTTGTCCCTTCCCAAGTTTTAGGATGAGTCTCAAGCTGTGGATACATTTGCTCCTGGGCAGGAAAATATGGCACCTTTCCCAAGAGTTTAGCATGTAGCCTGTTTGAACCAACAATGGGGCCTAATAACCTAACACCTCCTGTTCTGCCTCTCTCTGGTATGTGAACTCCCAGGGTGGAAGTATCATGTTCCACCTCATGTTGGCCCATCCAGGTGCAACAAAGAAAAAGACAAGGCCCAGGTGTCAGTTGTTTCTCTTACTCTGACAAGACATATTTAAAGCTGGAAGGATGACACAGAGGGACCAGAGGCTAAAACATGAAAAAACTGGGACTCTTAAATGAACCACTCCTATCTATCCTCTAGAGTCTTTTATGGGCTACATAAAACTAGGTGGTAAAAGAAAGGCGATGGGACGGGATGGGATGGGATTGGTGGAAGCATCTGGGCACTGTTTCTATCCCAGGACCACTGCATTGGGGCTAACATTGATGGGTGGGGGTAGGGGCTAGAGAAGCTGATACCACAGAGAAGAATGAGGCATCTCATACACAATTTACAGTCTCCAGGCAGGATAAGGGAAAAGTACTCCTAAATTCAGCCCTGAACAGGACTCTTAGAAGCAACAGCAGAGCCCATGTAACAGCTGGGATACAATCAGTCTCTATGTATTAGATCATGTGTTCTCCAATGGGCAGGAATGGTCTGTGATGTTCTTTGCACAGGGCCCAGGAAGAGTGCTGGGACTGTGGTTTCTGTTGACTCTGTATCTGACACCTAGGGTTTATCATCCCTCAGGTATTCCTTTTTAAGAGGATGTAGGTAAATGAGCACTGAATACAGGAAAAAGGAGAAGATAGAAAAGGAAAGCAATAGGCTTATTCAGTTTGGAGTAGCCTAGATATTGGTAACATGCCCTTGGGCCATGAAATGCAGAAACATCTTTTTCTTTCAATCCTGGTCATCAAAGCCCACCTTAAATGAAGGAGAAAAGCTACAAGATACAAGTTCTGCTCCTGTTGGTTAGCTCTCAGGAAATAATGGTCCACTATATAAGTCAGTTATCTGGTTCCCTTTGAGCCTGGACCCATGTCTCAGGTTGGCCCACTCCTATCAGGTTTAGGGTGACAAGGTGGTCTCAGGATCACTAACTTCTAACTTGTGCAAAACTGTATTGGTTAGAAAGGGGCCCAAGTTCAGACAGGCTCAGCAATTCCTTATGTATTTTTCAAAGTGCTTTTGTTGCATGTTTCATTTTCTGCTATACATGGCAATAAATATTTGTTGCTTTGGTCTGTACAGAAAGTCTGTGAGGAAGTAAGACAAGATGTTATCTAAATGGACAAACAATAAATACAGAGAACAGCCTTGTTCTGAGTTCCCCAGACAATAATGAAACAACCTGAAAAACTCAGGTCTTCTGTTTTAGTCCAAATCGACACCATATTGCCACCTTTTGAAGTTGTCATTTAAATACAGCAAATACCAAGAATCAGAAATATTCCAGGAGTCCTGCAATAAGCCTGCATGCTATAGCTTTCTAAAAGAGAATGTGAAAGTCCCCAGCAACTCATATATAGAAAGCTATTTATTTCCTACAGAAAACATCAAAAAATAAAAAAAATAAAAAAAGAGAAAAGAAAAAGAGACACAGAGAGAAAGAAAATAAACACACAAAAGGTGGTCTTTCCCAAAAGGCAGGCAGTTATGAAAAAGGTAGGAAATCTAGTTGCTGGAGTGGAAACAGTAACATTCAGTTAACAATGGAATATTTAAAAAAAATAGTTTTCTTTTCAAATTGTAACTTGTGGTAAAACATAGAAAAATGTACTAAACAAGCTTGGTATAAAACAGAATAAAATTTTCAAATAAGCCCAGGGAAAAAGCACAATGCTGGAAAGAATGCGGTACAAGGGGAGAGGAGAAAAGATTTCATACAAAACTACCTATTACGATACAGAAAAAAGTATAAAATGTTCCTATTTTGGAACTTAAGTACAAAATGACACTGGCATTGGATCATTTCACTATTTAAGCCTGAGGAGCTCTCAGAGGGTGGGGGAGATGCTAAAGGAACAAAAGGAATAGCAGTTTTAAAATCTCAAGTTGATCAGTCCAAACTCCACCCGTTTTTCAGTTGAAAATCTCACCTCCCTCTGTAACCTCTACCCCTAAGCCAAGGTTCATCCAGGCCTCAGAATATTCCCTTAGGAAGTCCACAAACACCCTACACATAGGGGCTGGGATCTCTGTGTGCTGGAATTTGGAAAATGGAAATAAATCTACAGGCTCAATGGTGAACACATTCAGTCTTTTTTTTAAAAAGCATATCCCTGTGAATTTATATATCTGTGTGTGTATGTATATATACACATATATATATACACACACACATACACATATATGTATATGTATATATATATATACATATATATATATATATATATATATATATATATGAAATTCTCTGTGGTTAGAAATATATTTAAACTAACTAGCCACAGACCAAACTAGACCTGCATTCATCCAACACTGGAATTTTATGCTAAAGACTAAGGTCCTTCTTCTTGGTCAGTAGGCAACAGTTAAAGTGGTGCTTGTTGCTCCACTGGACCGCTCCCTGGGTGGGTCATCCCCATATCATGTGTTGTTAGCACATGCAAACACCTGCTTTTAAGAAAAGGACTGCTTGGAACTTTGAGGTCTGTCCAGGGCTCATGTGCTGTGCCTCAGGATGGAATGAAGCTATAAGATAAAATAGCCTTGTATAGAAGCAGATGGGTGACATATAGGGACATATAAATAGGAAAAGTCCTGGAGGAGGGGGCTTATGCGTGCGCCCCAAAGTCCAGTTTACAGTCACATTCCTGACAACACATCTTGAAAATCATGTATGCGTATGTGCACGTATATGCTGGTGGTTTTTACCCCAAGTGTTTTGCCCATGCCCTTTCCTACTTCTTAGTAAGGCCTAACCACAAGAGTTCATATGAAACCAAGATTCTTTCCAAGCTTTCTCAGTTCCCTAGTTAGGGACCGAGTGAGGCTGGAGCCCTTTGAAAACAAGATGGCAGAACTGAAGAAGTGAAAAGCAGTCTCTCTCTTCAGCTTAGGGATGACCCTCACCCCTTTCACAGCACCAAAGTTTCTTTGCAAAAATAGTATCTGAGATACAAAAGGAAAGGCAGATGTGCTTGTGAATGCATCTCGCCAGGGCCTGGTCCAGGATCAAGGCTGTTTATAAGAACAGAGGGCTGGGAGCAGCTGTTTCCAAGGTCTCCGGCTTGTAGACAACAAAGAGCTGGTCTGCCAAAAGGTCAATGTCTGCTGAGACAGTCTTCACAAGAGCTTTCGGTGGAGGATCTCCCAGACCATCCGCTTCCGAAAGTATGGCATGTGTTGCTGTAGGAACACACAAAGGCACCCTTAATTTTCATTTATTTTATTTTGACCCAATAATACTCCTTTCCCTATTCTCCTTTTCTTTTCAAGGCTTTCCACTAACAGTCTCAGTTGTGTTTCAAATTGTTTGGTTTTTCAAACTGTTCATTCTTCATTGTATGTAGTTTTTTTTCTTTCCATTGCTTTTTCTACCATTACTTATATTGCTTTTTCATTGCTGTAGCCTTATGCATTTTATTGGGCAGATCCAGGAGTCCCCAAACTATGCCTGAATGTCTCCAAGAATTTTGAGAACAGTGTCTAGTAAGTCCTCTATGTTATATTGAACTTAAAAGGATATGAGATTGAGGCCTGAAAATAAAAAACTAACTTTTTAGGGGAAGAGATAAAGAACTTCAAGAGTCGGCTCAGGCCGGGCTTGGTGGCTCAGCCTGTAATCCCATGCTTTGGGAGGCCGAGGTGAGTGAACTGCCTAAGCCCGCGGGTTCGAGACCCACCTGGGCAACTTGGTGAGACCTCATCTCTACAATAAATCAAAAAAATTAGCCAGGTGTGGTAGCACATGGCTGTATTTCCAGCTACTCGGAAGGCTGAGGCGGAAGGATTGCCAGAGCCCAGCAGGTCGAGGCTGCGGTGGCTGGGAATGGCCACTGCACTCCAGTCTGGGTGACTGAGTGAGACTCCAACTCAAAAAATAAAAATGAAAAAATAAAGAGTCGGCTCAGGCTGATGTAGACAAAGGGTGATGGTGGAAAAATCTGGTAAAGTCACTGATTCAAACATAAGTAAAGAGTTAAGTAGATAACATCAGAATAAGACATAATCTCTAGTCTCAATCCACTTTAGTGTCTGAAGGACCATATATCCAGAAATGATTAATCACACACTACGAGAAAACTGATCAGCTCCAACTAGAGAGGCGGCAGGGGAGCAGGCAGTATAACAAATCACATTAGGAAATCGAGGTGTGGCATGCTCCAAAACCTGACTGCTAACTAAATGCAAGAAAAATGAAGCAAGTTTGCTCTCACTTTTCTGTTTATTATAGAATTTGAGTAGGTAGGGGAGATGGGCACACAATGTTCTGCTCTTTACCAGTATTCCTTTACTAATATGTGCTGTATGGTAATCTGGGATGTGGCCTATTACTTTCTTTTGTGATGTGGCCCAGGCAATAACCACCAGTGTTTTGAGTCACAGGCGGAAGCATGCTAGAGGTCAAGGCAGAGGCCCCTAAGAAGAGCAAGTAGAGAGAAAAACATCTCTAGGGCAACTTAGCAACAAGGTGGTCCTAGAGCGCTTTCCTGAAGGCTCAGCTCACCTGTGTGAAGTTGATTGGTCTGTCTTTGGTAATACAGTCAGCATATTTGCAGGCAAACATCCCACAGTCACTTCCATTCATCTGCTGTGGAATTTCCTGAAAGACCACCATCACCAACAACAAAAGGTGATGACATCTTTCCAAGTTTCTTTCCTTCTTAGATTAAAAAATAAGAACCAAAGTATATAGATTTTACAGATTTTCCTTAATTAACAGATAACTCTGATACCTCACTCAGGACAAAAGAGCCTCAAAGAAAAAATATAGTATTTCAGTCAGGTTTGCTGCATGCTTCATATGAATTTCACCAGAGAATACTTCAGACTTCCATGGCACAATAAAGGTATAAAAGCTGGTCCCTCCCCCAGGGGCCAAATAATTAGCAAATGTTTCCCACAGAAGTGAAAAGTTCAGTAAAATATCTGGGCATTTAGAAAACCCTAGTTCTATATAAGGAACACATTACCAGTTTTCCCATTAACAGCTCAATCTATCTTCTCTGAAGAACCAAACAAGCTGAAGTCAGACCAGACACTAAGAAAGAAGGCCCTTAGGAATCAAGCAGTAAAATCCTTTCCTTCCCAAATACCCTACTCTTAGCATTTCTATCTCATCAAGACTAAATGTACCTGGCTTTTCTTGCTGAAGAGCTGCCAGCCATTGGTGTCGAACTCTTTCCTTTTCTTGTCAATGCTTTCTTGCTTTAGGTATTGCCTAAATGTATTGGGAGAGAAACAGATGAGGTGTGAACACTGATAACAGCTGCTACTCTAACAATGAGGCTAACAATCTTTAGGAGGACAACTGCTCTTCTGAGGAAAACAGTATGGGGGGGTGCACGTGCGCACATGCGCGCGCACACGCGCACACACACACGCACACACACACACACACACACACACAAAGGAATTTACTTATTAA